CTGGAAAAGTGGGGGTCGTCTTGTACATGGGGGCGTCTTATTGTCGGAAAAATACGGTAAGCTGCTCTACTCAGATGGGACCTGGCATCATTTCCTGATCTGACTTACTGTCGGGTATAAAGGCACAATACAGAAACACTGAATATGTAGCAATGTTTAAAAAAAATCTGAAAAAAGCTCATATTATTGGGAAATCTGCTGCTGTAAGACATATGTAGCTCAAGACACAGCAAATTTATACAATGTTTGGTATAACCACAAGGGACTCTAAACACTTGTTCTAATACTGCAATATTCCTACTGCATTCTTGCCTCTAATCATCTCTTTCTAAATTCTACTCTTATGGTCAGTCATGTATCTTGAATCACTATAACTAGAATTCCTGCCTTCTGCCTAAATTGTGGTGTTCTGTGTATTAAACAAGATAATATTGTTATTTATTTAAATTAATGAAAGTTTAAAAAGAAATTATGGAACACAAAAAGTGAAAGGGAAGAACAGTGATCTTTATTTAAATGAAGAAATAAATATATTTTCTGGGTATGTATCATTTAAAACAAACAAACATTTCTTACACAACTGCACAAAAACTGGCTTAAATAGTCTAATTCTTTGGTGGTTACTGGTTCTCAATAAGAGAAAAAATATATTCCAATGAGGCAGTACTTTTACCCCAACCTTTTTTAAAAAATAGTTGCAAGCTTTTAGGTTTATTAAAATCCTTTGTCATGGTAAATAATTAATATCAGGACAAAGTAAGGGGAATAGGAAATTATTTCTGATGTTATAGTTATAAGCTATAACTATAGTTATACCACTTGCATATTTCACTTATTCATATCTTTAAGAATAAAAAGTCCTACAGAATGAATTAAGATCTATCTAATCCAACATCAAGATTTCAATCATGGTCAACAAGATACTATAGGAAACCAACATCAAAGCAATTTGTATAGTTCCTGCTTTTATATTTACAAATGCAAAGGAATGATGACATGTGGGAACTTACTTAGGAAGATAACTGTATTAAATATTTAGATTTTGTCACTTTGGAGTACACACGCCTTTTACAGTGGTACCTCGAGTTACGAATTTAATCCA